CATTGAATTATTGCATGATACATATTCATTTTCTTGTTTAAAAATAATCAAATTCATTGGATTATGACATCGAGGAATATTTTATAAATTGAAAAATATGAAGAATAAAAAAATTAATATATATAAAAAAAAAAAGGGTAACTGTTGTATAACAAACACACAAAATCAGTGAAATGTTAAAAAGCATAATAAAAAGACTAAATGAAATATATAGCTAATATTTATTGATAAATATACATGAAACTAAAGGAAACATATTAAATATGTTTCTTATTTTTTATTATATCATACATTGAATCTTTACTAAAGGCAAAAAAAATAATATATAAATCTGTACCCATGAGTGCAGAAAGAATTTAAATTATATATAATGATTAAAGTGTTCTTAAAGGATAAAACTAATATATATAATTAATAGTATTTTTTGTAATAGTTGACTATTACATATCAAATTTATGATATATGTTTGTATAAATTAAATGAATGAAAAACATGAATTCTCACAAAATATAATGAATACAACGATGTTAATATATTACTTAATAATTCTTATTTTCACCATTAAAGTTCTATCTGAGTATACTTAATTATCCTCCACATTTATGAAATAAAAGAACAGTAATGAAAAATACTAAAAATGCATTCGAAGTATGGGTAAATTGACAGTGAATGTATAAAGCACTCTGAATGTTTATATAAAATATGTATTTTTTAAACATTATAACATGAAAGGTGGAGGAATAATACATTTTCTTATTATTCATAGGATGTTACAAAAATGAATAATATGTATATTATCGAAGCAAACATAGTTATATGGTTATACATATATTCAAAAATTTAAATATATATAATCGTACATGCCATAATGATATCTTCATAATGGTTGCTATCTAAATGATGCATTATATATTAAATACAGAATCACATTTTAATAATGATACTTACAACTTTCCTATAATTGTCTGTATATACTTTGATTTATATGAGAAGGTTCTTAAGGATATTAATAGGAATTACGAAATATATTGAACAAAAATAATAAATTATTTTCCTATTTAAAATGTGCAATAAAAAAAAGATTTTACAAATATTAATGAAATATATAAAAAAATATGTAAATTTAATAAATAATAATAAGATTTTGAATAAAATCACAGTTATCTCAAAAATATAATATATAATTTGTTGAAAATTATTTGATACTGCTACAAGAATTATGAAAATTTATTGAGCATAAACATTATATAAAAATTAACTTCCCATATAGAATAACAACAAAAATTAAGTTTATAAAGTCATGCTAAGAATTATTTGAAATATTGACCTCTATATTTATTTATGCCTTATAAAAAGTGAAATTATTGCTTAAGTTATAAAACCATATACTTCTTTAGTTAATCATTTGCTTCATTTATAATTAGAATATATATATAACATTTTATATATAAATTGATCAATTATAACATATAGTTCAGTAAATATTGAATAAAATTTTTCTTATATATATACTGTTATTAAAAGGACTTCGATATTCACACTAACTAAAAATTATTCTATATATTTTGTGGAAAAACTGTTTATTAATATATGAAAAGAATATAAGTGATAAAATAAATATTAATATTAATGTGCTTATATCAATATCCATAACTCCAAAAAATATCAGAATAGTGTGAATATAATATAGGAATTAACTTTTCATGATGTACGAGATAAACATGAAAAGAGGAAATAGCATCTATTTTAAATATAAATTGTGACAAATTAAGTCACTTGATGAGCTCAACATCTAAAAAATATTTTGTTATAAACATTATACGGGAAACTCCAGTAACAAAATTTAAAAATTCTTTATTAAATATTCTAATATACAGGAAAAATGATATAAAATAGATTTTTTTAATCAAACATTTAATAATATAACTCAAAGTGATAAATTACATACATATAAAATAATAATATATTATCCTTATTAATAAAATTTAACTAAAATAAAAATATATTATGGATTACCAAAATAAAGTCATATATATGCTTCAAGAGAATATAAAATAATCTTAGAGTAATGAGATTTTAAGATCACCAAGATTAAACAATATATAATATATATTTATCAATATATATATGTATTATACCCATCTTTATGTATATATAATGTATAATAATCTTAATAGAAATAAATATATATTAAGGGCATTTGATTTATTGTATTAATATATACAGAAGAAACATTTTTTTTAAATGTAGTATTGATTTAAAAATTAGAATATGAAAGTTTATTTATAAATTAATATATATATATATATAATTCTGTTATAATTACTTTTTATTCGTATAATGATATAGAATTACAGAAGTAATATTTAAATTTTGATTATCTCTGTGTATACACTTTCTTCATTGCATACAAACTATTAATATGGATAATACTAAAAATTACATAAATTAATGGTGTAAAAGGCTATCCCCCGTTTAATAATAATTTATCATATATTTCCTTTTAGCATACTTTTCAGCTTAATTAGAGGAATCCATGAATCATAGGAATTTTACTACATTCAATGCATGAAAGACGATTATTAATATAATTGTTTTATATGACATTTATTTAGGAATTATTTTTATTCACACACACTAATAGTATGTATAATAATATATCAACATATATATTTATATATATATTGCATGTATTTGAATTTTTAATCAAATATTTAACTCTTTTCTTCTGCTACTTATGTTTAATAATCATAAAATTACAAAAAAAATTTATTTATCAAGAGTGCAAATTTTTTTATATTTTGATATGCCTATTTTGAGAAATTCATATGTAATAACTATTATTCCAGGTTAACAAGTTTTTTTTTACTTGAGCTATTTCATAATAATTATATATTGTTTATTATGCGACATGGTTTCAAATTTAACATTTCACATATTTCTTAAATTTACAAAAAAAATATAAATTATTTTTTAATAAGATTACAATTTTATGCTATATACTTTTGTATAGTTATTTATTTTTGGATAAAAAATATGCATTTACATTATTATGTTACTTGGTTAAAACTATTTTTAATTCACTAATTAGTAACAGTTTTATTAAGTATAGTCTACTGAACTATATTCTATAATCATTGTCAATGGAAGCGTTGTATGCATATTCGAATGAATCTAATAATGTAAGATATTCTTCATCTTTTTTATTAAAAAGTCTCTTTATATTCACTAATAATGGTCGTAAATATGATCTATAAGTTGTATACTAATAATAAGGAAATATTGTTGTACTTAGGTGTATATGTTATTTATTATATACAAATTTCATAATAATGCATGACATAAATTTTATATATGTTATATAAACTGAATTTGTTTTTAACTTTATATAGAATGAGTATAGTTGTTGATATAGCAAATGTCATAAAAGTTAGAATTAAGAAAGCTGCCCTTATATGTGTGAGCGATGAGGAATATGGTAGTTCAGAAGCTTCTTTACGTACAGGCTCATTTACACTATTTTGAATATATTGAATTTTAAATGAATTTAAAACTTGACAATAATTGCTGTTATTCATATTTTCACAAACCTTGAATATTTGTGTGTATTTGTTAAAGCATTCACTCTTCATAGGACAGTTTTCTTTTTTTTGCATAAAAGTATTATATAGGTTATTCAGATTCTCAAATTTTTGAAATGTATCATCAGTGAACTCTTTAACATAGTGCAAAACATGTATTAGGTACGTTAAATGAATGTATTTTATCAGCTGGATTCAACATTTTATTATAAGCATTTTTAGTGCTCTTATCATTGCATTCATATGCATTTAATAAATATTTTAGTTTATAGCTGAAATATTTACAACTAAGTTCTATAACAGTACTAGACCTTTTTGTTTTTATATAATCTAAGTAGAGAACAAGTTCTCTACATGCTGCTATATAAGATTCACTAATTCCACGACGAGGTTCTAGAAGCATCATAATCATACTACATGTATTGTCAAGTTTATAATCATCATTTATAGCTTTACTTGAATACGTATTAAAATCATACAAACACGTGGGAAATATATCCTTAAAATCAAACTAAAAATTAAAGTCATAATAAAAGAAATGTTTTAATACAATACATAGGAAAAATATTTCTTCTTGTTTTTCCATACATAACAAGATTACAAATTATGTAATAAAATTTTTAATAGATATAAAATATGGGAACTTACGTCTTCTTTTACAACTGGATTCGTAGCCATTGCCTTAATAGTGTGAGACGAAAAAAAAAAGATAATATTTCTGCTATTAATGGTTTAGCGTTCAAAAGTATAGCGTTTTCGTTTTACTTTTTGAATGTTCAATGTATTATTGTTTTTTATAATTTTATATAAGTATTGTAATAGAGAGTAATCTATATGCATTTTTTTAATATAATTAATTTTATGTATTAGTAATAAAATCATTATTATAATCTATTGTCATGATATTATGTAATATAAGTAACAAATATATAACCATATCCTTAATTTTATATATTTGCTTTTCCTTATATATATAATTATTTTAGATACAATGTTCTTATAATGAATTAATATAATTGAAAATTTTTTATCAATAATTGTCCATATTTATATGATGATATTTAGTTTAATTTTTCTATAATAACATGTGCTATTGTTTTATTTCTATATTTTTCCTCTTGTATATAATTATACACAAATTAAATCTATTTATCACTGTTTATTTTATAAGTTCGTTAATTTTTAAAGCTTATACATTACATATACTTTTATATATCCTTGAATAGTCTGTATTATATATATATATTATATTCATATCTTATTTACAATTACGATTTATGTGTAATGTATTATTAAAGAAAAATATAGTAAGTTAATTTAACTCAAAAAAAAAATATTTCCATAAAAAATTAATAAATTAAAAATATACACTTATTTATATTTCAGCATATGCCTACAATACAAAAAATATTATTTCCCGATGTTTTCTTCCTATTTCTCGTATTTTCTCTTACTTTTTATATGATGATAATTTATTTAAATGTATTATAAATATATTTTCATTACATAAATATAGCAATTTACAATATAATATATTTATGAATATGAAGAAAAAATTTTTCTGAAGAAAATCTATTCATTTTATAATTTAAAAAATAAATTTTATTATAAAAATTACAATATATATACATTTGATTTCATACAAATATCATATCATTTGAAATTAATTAATATTATTAGAGACAAAATTTTCTCATGATGACATATTTAGAATATTTAATACAGTTATAATAAGGAATATAATTTTGTTATATTTTATAAGATATTTTTAAAAAATTTTTGTTGTTTACAATAATAAAAAATTTACATATGCAATATATATATCACATGTTGTTTGAGCTATAGATAATTAGGACACCTCATTTATATTAAACAGTTGTTTTAATATATTACAACAAATGAAAATATTATGTAATTTCACATAAGATTAATACATCTCAATATATAATATATAATGAGGAATTTTATGTAAAGACTAAAGTAATTATCACAAAAATACCTTTAAATTTGTAGTACAAAAAAATATGTATATAAATAAAAAATACACAACAATGGGAAAAACATATATATGTAATAAATTATTGTTATAATAGTTATCATTTTTATAAAGTTTATTATGATCTCATATTTGAAATATGAATATTTTATAAATGTTTTAATAATAGGACACCCTATTGGATTTATATTTACAGTAGTTTATTAGTTATATGAATTTTTAAATGTTTCAAATAAGAATTTAGATAAATATATATTATTCATACAATATATGTGGATTTATTCTTTTAATTGGCATTAGATTCTTATTTTCTCTCGTATTATTGAGTAAGAATTAATTTAAATATGAAAATACATAATATATATAATTATTTAAACAATTTGGACAAAAAATTATAAATGCTAGTAACTTACTTAGGACTAATTAATAATTATTATTAAATAATATATATTTTAATAAAAATATAATACTGTAGTATATGAAAAATATATTTGTGTGAAATTTTCTTTTTGGATATAATTATATGTACAAAAAATTGTTTTATTTATTAATGACATGATATTTGATTTACTAGATTATTGCAACTATAGTATAATGTTATAGTAAAAATAACAATATTTCATTACAACATATTATAATATATGTTAAAATAATCTTAATTATTTATCTATTAATATATCATAAGTTCTAGGTTTCAGGATTCAGAGTTTACGATTCAGGGTTTAAGGTTTAATTTTTAGTGTTCTTGTTTTAGTTTTTAGTGTTATTAATTTAATGTTTTAGTGTTTTTTTTGGACTGTTATCGTTTAGATATAGTGCTTATTTTTTTTTTTTATATCTTATTCTTGTATGTTTAATAAGCGAATTTAATATTGAGTATTTTTTTTAATTTTTCATGTTATATTTTTTTTTTTGTCTTTTTTTTTTTTTTTAGTTTGTTTGTTATTCTTTCATTTTTTCCAATAATTTATCAAAATGTGCTCACTGAATTAAAGAAATAGTGTTATATATTTATGCTTAGCATATTTCTTTCATATTTTGTTTTAAAAATTATAACATTAATCATCATACAAAATTACTTTAAAGTATACATTTCCTTTTTAATCATATAATCTATAAAT